GAAAATTTTGGTCCTGTGATGCGATCATCTGTTCGTGTCAGAACTAGCACAGGGACTGATCGTCTCCGTGTTAGGTTCAGTGTACCACAACTGGCATCTGATTACTATTCTGATCCTCACAATCAGTAGCTAAGGTCACAGTCGGCAGTACTGATGTAACACCATGCATATCTCTCGTCCGCCTGGCTCTTATCCTTAACCTAGAGCAGGTTGCAGCGTGGATATTAAACAGGGGGAGCAAGTATAGGTCAGATTCATGCGTTCATCTGTTTGGGTTGGGGGACATGGATTGCTGGTTTGAATCTTGTGTGCAGATTGGTCACCAACCGTAACGGTCTCGCCGTTGTGAACTTCATATTTGCACTGCACTACCTTTCTGACAGTTATTAGGTGATTCCTTGATTGCCTTGTATTCAAAAGAACAGTTATTAGGTGACTCTGTTTGTTAGGTCATCCTTAATTAGCAATCAGATATAACTACTCCTACAAGGGTTGTCAGTAACAGAAGCTCAGACAATCATTTTCTGAACTTTTTTCGGGCGAACGAATTACAGAGATATTTATATCTGATGATGAAGTGGACTGCTAACATTATTCATGAGTCATGACACCACAGGGAATGCGACGTTATATTTAATAATTAATTACTACAGTAAGACGCGTCTGCAGGGAAATGCCTGATGTTACTTTCAGAAGGATCGGGCGTCACGCTTCCTGCTGATGAAAAAGTTTGGTGGCTACTGGCATTGGCAAACCCTGCTGAGAGAAGACCATGTGTCGAAATATAATCTAGTGATTGGAGAAAGAAATCACAACTTGGCAGTTACATACAATTCTTACTAGTAGGAAGCAAAAGCAAAGAAGCATCGCTGCATATGCCAGGGCCATGTGGCGTTCTACGTAATGGTCGGCGACTGAATGAATGCCGGTGAGCACGTTGGGAGAAGAAGTTTCAGTCCGTTCAGACGATTTTCAAGGTAAACATTTGTTCCTGGAGGCGACACATGTGATCTCGTGGCCAAGTTCATCAAACTGTCAGACAACGCTCTAGCCAAATACCGTATCTTTTTATTAGTACTAGATATATGCCTGTGTGTTGTACGGGAGTCATAAATTTTTGTTCACGACTACATTGATGAATTTGATCAGTTTTAGAAAATAATAAAAATTAATAATTAATCACACACCCACGCAGGCAAACCAGGAGAAAAAAATTCCAATCATCTACACACATCCTCGCCGAAGGAGCCGGGCACTCCTTCCCGGAGCGACCTCGCGTACTGGAGGCGGCTGGCCACAGCGTGGATCGGAATACCCTCAAAATTCTAAGTTTTTTCACTCTCTCTTCATCACATCAATTTTTAGCTATTTGCATGGAGCATTAAATGTAGCTAAAAAAAATAACTAATTACACAGTTTAGTTGAAAATCACGAGATGAATCTTTTGAGTTTAGTTGGTCCACGATTGGACAATATTTACCAAATAAGACGAAAGTGCTACTATTCATCGGGTTGAAATTTTTTTCAATCTAAACCAGGCCTAGATGGGATTAAATAAACGTCCATGTGGCTAGCAGTGTCCGGTATATGCTTTGGTTAAGTTCCTGACTCGGCCTGTGGTTCCAGACGCGGACTCTTCCTATCGGGTCGGGGCTTCGTACGGATCACCTGGTGCTGTACGGGTAGCGAGATTTGGTATCACTGAGTTGATGATTACTTTTATAGTCTTTTAGGTTTAGAGATAGAGATTAGAGAGAGATACGTAAAGTCGTACAAACGTAGCTTTAGGTGGGCGATGATATGTTGTACCTACAACATATGTGTCCGTCAGTGTCTGTCATGACAAGTCATCACCTATCCGCCATACGTGTACTGCAGATGACGTTACCACATCATGGTCACACGTGTCATCTTCATGCAGATGCAGGCGAGGAAGAAAGACTTGGTGCCGTGCCATCCAACGGCACGCGAGTGAGACTATGGATGAAAACGGTACGGATATTTATTCGATCGTCCGTTTGACCGAACAAATATGAACACTTATCTGGATAGTTACTCGGATATCCATAATTTTTTTCGGATACGGATACTAAAACGGATATCTTAGGCGGATATCAAATACGGATGTAATATCATCGATATCCGGCGGATATCGGATAATCCGGTTAAGTATCGGATATATCCGGATATTTAAAAACGGATATTATCCGGATATTATTCAAACGACCTTGGATGGAGAAATGATCAAAATAAAAATTGTAGATCTCAAAAAGTTATGAAACTTTGTTGTTTACAACTTTTTCGTTTGAAATCATTTAGTGCTTCAAAATTTAAACCGTCCAAACTTTCTCAAATGGAAAACTAGTTTATAGGCGTCAAAATTTAAAAATCACAAATTTGAACCATCCAAACTATCTCAAATAGAAAGTTGACCAAAACAACAATTGTAGATCTTGATGAGTTGAACAAACTTGGTATTCAAAACTTTCCAATTTGAAGTCATTTAGAGTTCATAATACTAGAGTCAAAGTGTTGTTTTTTCATTTGACCAAATTTGACTTGGTCAAACTTGCTCAAATGAGACACTAAATGACCTCAGATGAAAAAACTCTGAATACCAAGTTTGATCATCTCAGCAAGATCTACAATTGTTACATAGCTCATTTTCCCATTTGAGAAAGTTTTATCAAACACCAGTCATAAATTCTTGAATCTCATATACTTTCTGAAACTATGTCACACACTTGTGAAATTTGAACAATATTTTGTTCAAACTTTCTCAAATGAAAAATGACCTATATAAGGATTGTAGATCTTGATGAGATGAACAAATTTGGTATTCAAAACTTTTCAATTTGAGACAATCTAGGGTTCCGAAAACTAGTTTGTAAACGTCGAAATTTAAAAATCACAAATTTGAACCGTCCAAACTATCTCAAATAGAAAGTTGACCAAAACAACAATTGTAGATCTTGATGAGTTGAACAAACTTGGTATTCAAAACTTTTCAATTTGAAGTCATTTAGAGTTCATAATACTAGAGTCAAAGTGTTGTTTTTTCATTTGACCAAATTTGACTTGGTCAAACTTGCTCAAATGAGACACTAAATGACCTCAGATGAAAAAACTCTGAATACCAAGTTTGATCATCTTAGCAAGATATACAATTGTTACATAGCTCATTTTCTCATTTGAGAAAGTTTTATCAAACACTAGTCACAAATTCTTAAATCTCATACAGACTTTCTAAAACTATGTCACGCACTTGTGAAATTTGAACTACATTTTGTTCAAACTTTCTCAAATGAAAAAATAGCCTATATAAGGATTGTATATCTTGATGAGCTGAACAAACTTGGTATTCAAAACTTTTCAATTTGAGACAATCTAGGGTTCCGAAAACTAGTTTGTAAGCATCGAAATTTAAAAATCACAAATTTGAACCGTCCAAACTATCTCAAATGGAAAGTTGACCAAAACAAGAATTGTAGATCTTGATGAGTTGAACAAACTTGGTATTCAAAACTTTTCAATTTGAAGTCATTTAGAGTTCATAATACTAGAGTCAAAGTGTTATTTTTTCATTTGACCAAATTTTACTTGGTCAAACTTGCTCAAATGAGACACTAAATGACCTCAGATGAAAAAACTCTGAATAACAAGTTTGATCATCTCAGCAAGATCTACAATTGTTACATAGCTCATTTTCCCATTTGAGAAAGTTTTATCAAACACTAGTCACAAATTCTTAAATCTCATACAGACTTTCTAAAACTATGTCACACACTTGTGAAATTTGAACTACATTTTGTTCAAACTTTCTCAAATGAAAAAATGGCCTATATAAGGATTGTAGATCTTGAATTCATGACCATGACTCCATGAGACCCATGAAGTCATGAGCTTGGCTATTTCTACTCATGCCGCGAAGATTGGTGCTTGTATGATGTTTGATGTATGATGTATCTTTATCTTTATCTTATTTGTTGCTTTACTTTTTAGTCTTTCGGCTTAATCTAGATGGATTATGGACTCATAGAGTGGTGTAATGGTTTGCGCACGTATGATATACTTTTACTCAATATCCGAATAGATATTTGTATCCGACCTTCTCCGAATCCGATTCATACCGTATTCGATACTCATTATTCGTATCCGTAACCGAGTCAATCCGTATTCGTATATATATCCGAACGCTATCCGTGTCCGAATCCGAATCCGAACAGAAATATGAAAACAAATATAATACGAGTGATATCCATTCGTATCCGATCCGTTTTCATCCCTAACTGAGATGCCCGGTTGTTTTCCTATACTTTATTATCATTATTATTGCCTCAGCTGGTCAGCTGCTGCTTTGAGAGCGGCCGTGTTGCAGTAGCACATCGACAGCCAGTGACCTGGCTTATCTGGGCCTCCACTCGGTCTCTGAGAAACGGGTGGGCTAAGGCCCCGTTTAGATGCAAAAAATTTTGTCTTTTGTTTACTGTAATACTTTCGTTTGTATTTAGTAAAAATTGTTCAATTATGAATTATTTAGGCTTAAAAGATTCGTCTCGCCAATTACAGACAAACTGTGTAATTAGTTATTCTTTTTACCTACATTTAATGCTGTATGTGCCGCAAGATTTGATGTGACGGGAAATCTTAAAATTTTTTGGATTTTAGATGGGATCTAAACAGGGCCTAAGTTGGTTGTTCACTTCGACTCGAAGGTGCAGGGACAAAGAGGACAAGAGTCAAGAGAGAGGCTCGCTTCCGGAAACGGGCCCAATCCGATTGTGTCTGGACTCTGGGCTCTGGAATCTGGTTCCGTTCCGACTTCTGACTCGCACTATTACCTCGGCCCGGTTTAAAGTGGGTTCATAAAACGTGGGCGCGAGCGAGGGCGAGGGCGAGACCGCCGGCGCCTTGCGATCCCCCCCTCTCCAATCCACACAGCACACCGCGTCACCAAATTCGATTTCAATCTCACCCACCTCGCTCGCAATCACCCAGGGATGGCGGGAAAAGAGGATCCGACGGAGGATTCCCGCGCGGTTACGCCGGCGGACAATAAGGCCGCTGCCGACGCTGTTGCCGCCGCCAGCAACGTCGGCGAGGCGGAGCCACCGGAGGAGGAGCTGGTCGCGATGCCGGAGGACTACCTCCGCTGGCTCCTGGCGCAGACGAGGGAGACCGACCCCGTCCGATCCCCACCCTCGACGGCTACAGCACCCGCGATCCCGTGAAGCTGAAGCGCCTTCAGGAGGAGATCGAGTGGTTGCAGGCCGAGCAGGACGAGTTCTTCCAGTTCCAAGCTTGGGCCCGCGACGAGTTGGACAAGCATGGCCGCGTCATGGTTCCTGCGGACGAGGTTAGCCCTGGCCAGTTTCAGGAAGCCATTAACGAATATTGGTATGGTCTGCTCGAGGAGTATGACAATGGTGGTCATTCGAAAACTGAGGTTGAGGCTGCCGTGCCATCCAACTGAAGTCCACAAGGATTCCATACGCTCCACATGGTTATCAGTGTTGTCCATATAGCTCATGCTCCATCCGTCCTTAAATCGTGGACGGAGGCGGATAGTAGCTCTATTTCTGGTAGTTTTTTAGGAAGATTTTCCCAGGTATCTTGTTTAGGGTCTGTTTGGATCCTATGGATTGAAATCAACATCTAGAAAGTGTTGTCTATTTTGTTGTTAGATTACTTTTCAATTACTCTGTCAGCAGCCTGAAGGGTAAAGGATGCGGCCGATCCTGCAGCAGATCCGCCAGCGGACTCGCCTACGGCTTTGCCCGCCAGCCGGCCCAAGGGGAACCGAAGGCCCAACCAGCGCTATGCAGGCTCAGCTTAGATTGTTTGATGTCTATAGGTAAGAGAGGGTGAGAACGAGAGATGAACTATGAAAGAACATGCATGATGTATCCAAATATTCTATCTGAATGAAGCTTTCCTCCGAATCCCCATCTACCTCTGTTCTTCTTCTTCCCCAAGACTCCTTCCCCTCACATACCCTCAATTCCTAGAAACCAAACATAGCCTTAGAGAAAAGATTTTGCTGCCCTATGGCATAGAGTTTAGAGTTCCAGCGTAAAAGCCTTATTCTAGACCAAAGGCTTTTAGCCCAACTTGTATTGAAAGCCTAAAGGTAGTATTGATGGGGTTACCAGCGTACATAACAACACCAAAACAAACCAAAGCTTCTATTACACACCAACAACAAACGTGAAACCAGAACGCAAACCAACAACAAGAAAGTTCAAAAGGAGCTGCCTCCTAACCTCAGAAGCACGGACACGCCAGGGAAGGGCCGTATCCCGTATCGGATACGTATCCGATACGGATACGCTTGGGATACGGCCCGGATATCGTATCCATGGCGTATCCGCGTATCCCATGTTAAGTGGGCGGAAGCTGGCGATTGATACGTCTCGGCCCGGTCGACACGGGCCCAAGAGAGCCCAATAGGTCACCTTTGCCTCCTCGCGCCTCGGCCTCACGCCGACAGCCCCCCCCCGCGCGGCCACTTTGCCCGCCTCTGCCTCCGCCTCCCGGTCTCTCCCTCCTCGCCACCCGCCTGCTGCATCTCCGCCTCACTGTGCTTGAGTCCGCCTCCGACCTCGCCCGGCGACCGGCCTCCGCCCTCACCGCTTCACCCTTGCAGCTTCGCCCTACAGAGCCCGTCCCCTTCAAGAACGCGCACGGCTTGAGGCCAGGACGCGAAACCTGCGTTCGTGAAGGCGCTGTCTCAGCTTCGCCCCGTCTCCGGCTCGCCCCGTCGCGCGCCGATCACAGGGCAGCTGACGCCTCGCCCGGCGCTCCAGACCCGCAAGGCCTCGCCAAGCACTCGGGGCAATGCGCCCGCCCGACGAAGCGCGTTCTGGAGAAGACGGTCCGGCGGGCGGCGTCGTCCGACCTCGCCTCGCCCTCGCCTCGCCCGGCGACAAGGAGCCCCTTGTTAGGTGAGTTCCTCAACTGGCTCACTTCCTCTTCCTCCCCAATCCAATTTAGAGTGAGCGGTGAGCCGGTGAGGCGATGAGCCCCTGCCCCATTAGACCAAAGGCCATTACCCCTTTCACGATGACTGATTAGAGTTTTTTTTATTTTGTCCAATGTTCATTGTCCAAGATGGCATCTCCAAATTTGAGTAGTGTAGCTAGTGCTAGTGTTACTGCTAGTGGTAGTGTGGGATCTGGGTCCAGAGAAACAACTGATATCAAGGCTCCGCTGTGGGATCATGTCACCATTCTAGAGAGGCCTAAAGCTGGCGGAGGAAATGCTCTTTGGAGATGCAACTATTGTCCATTGGAAAAAAGCACATTGGCTCAACATGAACTTGAACATCTATTTTGCAATTTCATATGCATTGTTATCTATTTATTAAAAAATAGTAAAACGTATCCGCGTATCGGGTTTCTTAGGAAATTGCCGTATCCACGTAGCCGTATCCTTCCGATACCGATACGCGTATCCGTATCCGTGCAACTTAGCTCCTAACTACTTTGCTGTAGTGATTTGTGTTTTGTAGAAGAAATTTTTATAGCCTATTCATCCCATCTAACATCTAGATCCTTACACTGGCTCAATAAATGGTGGCTCCGATTCAAAAAAAAATGGTGGCTCCAACGCCACCCGAGGTGCTGCTAGCTCATCAGGACCCCCAGCCGGCTCCTGTGCCACCCACCTCCAGCAAGCGCCTGAGCCCACTAGAGGGGGCGCTTCTCTCTTGGACAAGACATCACGAGATGGTGGAGGGGCCTGGGCGACCAAGTCCGCTGCCCATCTCATCGTGCCGGCGGGCCGGCGACGTCGTGTCCGTGGACAAGGCAGAGACCGAGGCCGCCACGGCCGCAGTCTAGGCCGCCGCCGACTTTATGAAGGCAGCGGCCTCGGGGCACATGCCCCCTCCCCCGATCAATGGCCCTGTTCGTTTGGGCTGGTTTGGCTTATAAGCCATGGCTGAAAGTACCGTTGGCTGGTTTGGTGTGAGAGAAAAATAATATCCGTTGGTTGATAAGCCATGACTTATAAGCTAAATACGACCAAGTGAACAGGCTGGATGTCGGCAGCGGCCTCGGGGCACATGCCCCTTCCCCCGATCGAAAGGCCAGGATGGAATGCACATAAATATTGATTATAGCAATGTGTATGTTGAAGGATATGTGAGTGCTAACGGCTAGTAATGGGCATGGAGGCATGTTCTCCTAGAGCCCCGTGCATGTATTTCATTATTTGTGTTTATAAATTTTTAGTTAGTTAAATGTCTCCGTACATAATAAATTGAGATTTTTTTACGTTTTCTATAAAATGCCAAATGAAATATCTTCTGCTCCATCCTGGTATAGCTTAGTTTTTTAAAGAAACCACGGGATTTAAAATATTGTTATCTATATGGAGATCTTAGCCGTGTAAACGAGGATTTGGTTCTTTCCTTGTGTAACTGATGAATGAAAAATATCTTAGAGGTATGCATCTTTTAAACGCACGATTATATAGGTCACACTGATGTAAGGACTTTGAAAAATGAAGAAGAAATCTAATTACTTGAAATATTTGTGGGCTGCACTGTGAAGGCACATGTTATCGCATCGTCACTACAACCAACTACAATATGTGTTGACATAAATTTGTTGAACTTACGTTAATTTTTCGTGGAAGTTAAGGACCATGGAGCCATCAAATAAATGCTACGAAGACCTGAAGGAATGCAAATATAAAATGTAATGTTCGTTAATCTTTTTGTAATTTATAATTTGAGATGTGTTTAGTTTGAACAAATTATGTTTTATTTATGATACAATGAACTTTAGCATATCTTCATTGGGAAAATGACTTGGGCTATGTTTAGATTGCAAAAAATTTCAACCTGATGAATAGTAGCACTTTCGTCTTATTTGGTAAATATTGTCCAATCGTGGACCAACTAAGCTCAAAAGATTCATCTCGTGATTTCTAACTAAACTGTGTAATTAGTTATTTTTTTTACCTACATTTAATGCTCCATACAAACGGCTAAAAATTGATGTGATGGAGAGAGAGTGAAAAAACTTAGAATTTGGAGATGATCTAAACAAGGCCTTAAGAGATGGCAATATCCAACTCTCACATCCTAGGGACGCCACTGCCTTAAATGTAAGAAATTTTCAGTTGTCTTAAATCAAAGAACCGTAGTTTGGCAAAAGTAGAAAAAGAATAACAATATTTTGCGAGACCAAACAAGGTTCATCAGATACATTCTGAAACATATATTTTGTTAATCTATCTCTTTAATATGGTAAATATTAATATTCGTCTCTACAAGCTTGAAAGAACTCTTATGTTTCAAGACGGGGAGAGTATCTATCTCCATTTGTTAGAACTGAGAAGTAGTTGGTTACAAACCTCTGCAATAGTCTAAATGCAACCTCTCTCTCTCTGTCATATATATATACACACAGTTGTGACTGCAAGCTTACAACCAAAAACCTAAGTAACTCTGATCAGACTCGTGTAACCTTTGATGTGGCAAAAATTAGCAAGATTTGGCTATAAACCAAACATCACCATTCCTTCCAGAGGTGTGTATGTATGTACACTGTATTAAACGCTGCAACGTTCTAAATGTAGCATCCTCCTCAAAGAATCAACATGCTAATGCCAATTTTGAACTCCTTTCTTTCTTTCTTTCTTTTTTTTTGCAGATCCGTTTTTAGAAAATACGTACTTCGCCGTCGTCCCTTTTGCAAAAGGTTTAGTAGGGCCTAGTAGCAGCCGGCCTGGCGCTGCACATGCTTACACTCACCGTTACATGTATGATTTTCTACGAGCTTAACATGGTCGCAGCATATTCAACTTGTAGAAAACGGGTTCCGCGCGCCATGCTCGAGTAGTTAGCCGACCAAATCGGCGGCCGGTGGCATTCGAGACAAAAGAACGGGCACATGACATGGAATCACATCCCAGAGACTCTACCAGTAGGTAGTAGCTGGACCTCGGTAAACCACCAGGGATAGATCTGCCTCGGAATTCGGTCCCCGATGACGTGCTCATTTCATGTAGGAGTATACGTAAATAAAAACCTTCAATTCATTCTGAAGTCTTTGCATGCACGTATGTACGAGTCCGATCAGAGCCAAATCTGATCCAGAGTACTACGTTCATGAATTTGGCGTCGCTGCAACCGAGAGCAGGTATGGATACGACTGGATTTCATGCTGACTGTTTCGAGTTGTTAAATGGCCTACCCCTCCAGACTCCTATGTTCATAGAGGCACAAAAATATTGGCATGGCTAGCGCCCGAACGTCTGGACGTCCGCGCCTGCCCCGCCTGCTGCGCACGTTGCTGGGTCTGTCCGCGCCTGTTGTGCTTCCTGTCCGCCCCACGCCTGCTACTACGCCTACCCAACGTTGGTGCGCTCATTAGGTAGTGTTTCCCCGCCAAGCTCGAACTGTCACGGTGAGAGGGAGGGAAGGGGAGGTAGAGGAAAGGAAAGTCCAAGACGCGCCACGCGAGGTAGGAGCTGAGGAGCCGAAACCCTACGGCAAGCTGCTGTCCGCCAGCCACACTACAACGTGTCTCTCAATAGAAGGCATTTTGTTAAAGGCATTTTTTAAAGTGCCTTTAATTTCTTATTTTATAAAGGCATTTCTCTCAATAGGCCTTTGAAAATATTTTTTAAGGCAAAACAATAAAACGCCTTAAATACCTGCAATAATTAGAGGTGTTTTATCAAAAAAAATGCCTCACTACCTATAACATTTGGAAAAAGTCTACTTAACCCATCACCTTTCATACATGGTCTACTTCACCCCCAACTATGAAATCGTCTGTTTTACCCCCCTGAACTTTCCAAAACGTCTATTTTACCCCTAGGGCGGTTTTGACAGCGGGTTTTCTACAGTAACATCGGTTTTTGCTACAGTGACGGTGGGTTTGAATTCAAACCCACAGGCGCGGTAGCAACCCAGTTTTACTGTATCAACCCGCTCTCAAAAACCGCCCGGGGGGTAAAATAGACGGTTTTGAAAAATTTAGGGGTAAAACAGACGGTTTCATAGTTGGGAGATGAAGTAGACTATGTATAAAAGGTGGGGGTTAAGTAGACTTTTTCGTATAACATTTTGAGCCGTTTTCCAGAACGCCTTTCCTACGCTATACGTATAACACAGCCCGTTCTGTTTCAACTTCTACAAAACGAGCACCTCCCCCATCTGAAGCGCACGGCAAACGTCATGTCTCTCTAGGACTCCATCGGCTGTGCCTCTCGCCCCTCTCGGTCTCGGCCCAGCTCGTGCCAGCAGCTTCTCACTTGTTGCGATAGGGTTCGAGCCATCGAGGGACGGCATGGGCCTCCTGATCCAGCGCGGGCTCTGTGGGGAGGCAGCGCGGCTGCATCGGGCGGCGCGGGGAGTACGGCGCGGCTGCGTCGGGCCGCGCGGGGAGGGCGGCGCAGCTGTGGGGAGGCGGCGCGGGGAGGACAGCGCGGCTGCAGGGAGGCGGCGCGCCTGGGTCAGGCGGCACGGGGAGCACGGCGCAGCTGCGGGGAGGCGGCACGGCTGCGTCGGGCGGCGCGAAGAGGATGGCGCAGCTGTGAGGAGTCGGCGCGGGGAGCACGGCGCAACTGCGGCGGCGCGGGGAGATTGCTGGGTTCGTCGAGATTCTGAAGCGTCGGCTTCGTCGGGTACGCCGTATCCTCAAGTGCTCCTCCACGAAGACTCTGCCTAACACGGAATCGGGCATGAATATGATGATGGTGTCTGTATCGACATGGATTACGCCCAACACGTGTTCGATAAAATGAGCTCAAGGTAATAAGAATTTCTGACATCCTCCGTAGATCTACCTTCACCCGTGCGACCTCATTGAGATCCAGATCCCTATATTCTCTACAGCTGCTTGTCCTCCAAGGTTGCCTCTCTCGCACTCATGATGATCTCCTTCCTCGTTGGTGTGCCTTCGGCCTAATTTGAACCCCGTGGCTTCCATGCTGCCATGGCCCGAAGAGAGCCGTCCATCAACTTCTCTGAGGCTGCACGCTGGTGGTGCCACATACGACATGAAATTCCTAATCGGCACGCCGCGGCATAGGTGATTGACACTGGCACTTACCATGCAGTATTATTGCTACAAAATGTTTTGCTGCCTATTACTACTTTTTTCTGGATGTTTCACTCAGTAGAGTAGTGCTAAGCTTGATTGCCATCAGTCTAGCTGTAAAGCTTAACAAGGTTTCCTGAATATAACGTAGGGTGAATATCCAGCTACTTGCCAGTAACTACGGTTATTCAGTTAGCATGTATCAGCAGCTCACCCTCCTGTTGTTTATGATCTTTAGCATATGAACTTTGCAACGTTTAATGTAGTCATGACCCTTTACTTATCTTTTAGTTGCTTGGTCAATTTTGGGGACTGCTATTTTTCTGATATCAACTGTTGAGGTGAAGTTCAGTTACCCGTTGTGATTTAGTGGTAGTTTTATGGTAATCCGACAGTTGATAATATTCATTTGACTGAGCTTCTTGACCAATATAATTGTAATTTTCATGGATATAACGAGATGATATATATAGTCACAATATTAATAAACCAAACTCTATTGACCGTTATATGATTTGTGCATATGGATTCTTCAGTTCAATGTTATAGATATCTGATAAATCTTCAATATCTATATTATAGTTTGGAGCTGTAATTTCTGACATGCACTATGCACTGAAACTCACTTAGTTCACCATTTGCAGCGTGTAACTGGCAGGGACACGTAAGCATTATAGTCAGATGAGATATGCCAGCCTAAGGTTATTTGGTCCCTTCTCCCTTTTTGCGGAAACAAGAGGGGTCAAGGACCCCAGGTCACTGTAAGCAAGATGTAAGGTCTACTTTTTCTCCAGGTCAGAGCTCTTTCATCATTGGGAATGTCTACGATCATTCCGGTATGTCTCTAATGGAGCTTCTTTATCCTGAATCCAGCAAGCAAGCATTCAACACATGCAAAGGCACTAAATACTGGTTCACAGTATGCCAGAAAAAAACATTGTTATTACTGATTTTATCTATTGGCCTGCTTGTAGTAAGGTAACTCACAAGTTTCACTACCAAAGATTTAAACTGGGCACCAATTAAAAGTTAGAAGTTGGTATATAATATGGTAGAGAAGGAGGATTATTTATGACTGGTCCTACCCAAATTATTTGTCTTTGAAAAGGTTGCTTGTCGACACAATGAAAAAGAAGAACTCCACTCGCAAATATAATCAATAGAAGCAGATTCAATGAGATATTTTGACACACCCATCTATTTTAGTGTTAGGCTCTGTTTTTATAACTGGTTAATGCAATGAACTGGGTTTCTTTTTCTCGCAGATACTCTTAGAGATCATGAATTTTGTTAAGATGTTGGACTCTTTTGCCATTAGAGTTCTAGGTTCCTGTCTGCAAGAAATTGGAAAACTCTGAGCATACATTTTCATTTGCAATGAATTGCTGAATTTTCATCGTTGCATCTTAGGTAAATCTACTAAAGCTTAATTATTTCTAAAATTGATTGCTGCTTGTTTTGCTCTACTAAAGGTTCGTAGGCTTATTGCTATTTTAAATTTTGTTCCTCAACTTAATTTATTCAGCTTAAATCTGAGAAGAACAAGTCCATTAGAGCACTGCAACTCAATGGAAGACACACCACGGTGAATACATATTGATTTTAAGGGCGACAACAACATGCTTATAAATTTGTAGAATACTTGGTCAAAAGCAGAGAAAGGGTGTTGCTGTAGTAGTATAGGTGTCACACTGTCACTGCTATGTGGTGGACTATATGGAAACTCAGAAGTTTAGCTTTGTATTAGAAAATTAATTACCCGCTTGCTGATTCTATTGTTATATTTTGTTTACTGTATGTGTCTAGCTGATGGTTTGTTGTGAATTGCAGAAACCTAGAGTAGAGTGAGCGAGCAGGGGGGGAAGAAGGTAGAGGGTGCTGACCATTGGATTTGATAATGGCAAGAAGCTTGTTGTGGTGGTGGTGTCACCATTCTCTTTCTGGTACTAGTAGTTATATAGTATGAGACTATGAGTTATAGGTACTTGTCTTTTGTAATTTGAGCATGTTATTGTCAAGACCTTGAAAGGCTCCGTCTGCTGGACTCGAGAAACAGCACCTAGAAGAATTTTATGGCTGCACCAGAGTAGTTCAGAACTTAAGTTGCATCAGCACTGTTGGTACTATGGATTGGAGATGTTTTGTTCTCTTGACTGAATATTTGAATCGTTGCAGTAAAGTCATAGTGGTCTTCCTCTGCTGAATCCATAGTAGTTTAGCTTTCTGTATGAAAACTTATGTCTGTATGAAAGATTTTAAAGTTTGGATGCATCCAATGTTAATGTGCTAATTTGATATTGGTCGAAAGGGTTGCATGGATACCTGGGTTTTGGAGGTATTTCTAATAATGTCTCCATCAATGTTTGAAGGCAAATTCTAGGGTGCCCCTAAAAAGTATTCTAGGCAGGTAGAAAATGCCTTTAAATGTTGATATTAAAAGGCATTATGAAAAAACGTCTCAAAAGACCTTTTACTTCCATGTTTTAGCCGGCGTTTTAATGAATGCCTTAAAGAGGTCTTTGAGGGCGTTTTGACCATTTTTTGAGGCATTTATAAACGCCTTTTACAATGAGTGATGTTGTAGTGTCATCGGTGCCATTGCAACATGTGCAACACCAGGTCTACTTTTGAAACATCCAGATAAAACATTTGCAACATAAGTCTGAAACAGATGAAACACATGAATATGCTCTTGAAACATGCACGTGTAGTCATTGCAACATGTGCATCGTCTAGATGTATTTTTGAAACATCTAGATGAAACATAATATTGCAACATGCATATTTTGTTATTACAAGTATGCAACGTGCCACATATATCATATACTGTTGCAACATATAGATGAAACACTTGAAACAAAAGTCTAAAACGTCTAAAACATAAACTTGCAATATTCTGTCAGTGGATCACGTTCAGCTTCCGAGTTCAGTCGTATGCAGATGATCTGCCGCCTGCCTGATCGCGTCCTAAGCAGATGATGATCTGCAGCAGATCACGTCAACGTGCGGAGAGGGAATACGCGAGTGGCTCTGATGGCTATACAGTGCGTTGAACGTCGGAGCACTTCTATAGCGGTATCTGTGCAATTTACCAACAACATTATTGATTCGTCCTACATTTGCCACCTTTGTGGGGGCAGTGGTTACAAACCTTTGCAATAGTCTAAATGCAATCTCTCTCTCATATACTATACGGCTGTGGCTACAAGGCTACAAGCCTACAAAGATCCTAAGTAACTCGGTCACAGTGCCGGTCCTACGATTTTGAAGGTCCTCTGGCAAACTCGTCGTGACGGCCCCTCTAAACCACGTATAAAATATTATAATATATATGTGCTAATTTTATTTGCAAAGCGAAAGCAAATCCAATAATATATTTTTAATTTAACATGTCTGATAATTATCGCAGAACCGGTGGCGGCGGCCCTCGCGTTCGTGCGCCCGGCGGTGGCAGCGCCCCTCTCCTTGGAGCTCCTACGATGTGGATCAAGCTCCTCCGGCGCGGATTGGCCTTCCCCGGCATGGATGGAGCTCCTCCGGCGCGGATCGGCCTTCCCCGGCATGGATGGAGCTCCTCCGGCGCGGATCGGCCTTCCCGGCGTGGATCGACCTTCCCTAGCACAGATCCGGTGAGGATCGACCACCTACGGCGCAGATCCCTGCTCCCGCATGCGGCACGATGGGCTAGGAACGGGCTCGCCGGCGAGCTCGGGATTTTTTATGTTTTTTTATCGATTAACCAAGACAAGCGTTGTAAGCAGCCCGCCTTAGTTAATCGATTAACCGATGCGGGCAAGGCAACCGCCTCCGTTATTCACGGATTAACCGTGACCTTTCGACGGAGACGGTTGCCTTTGCCTGCCTCGGATAATGAAAAGCGTCCGCCTCCGTTAAGTTTATTGCAGTAGTGTATTGAGGCTGCAATCCGGAACCTACTACTCTCTTTGTCATGTAATGCAATACATTCATAAACTGTAATATACAACTTAATTGAATACTCAAATAACACATATGCCATGGGGTAAACCTAATTAAAGAGTTTTTCATCAAATTATGGTTTTATTTTTAAACAAAACTTTGCTAAATTTGAGCATAGACACCACATGAAATATTTATATTTTAGTACAAATTTTAGAAGTCATATTACACTATATTTACATGATGAAGGGAGCGAGTAATTGCTAGACTCGTGTAACCTTATATCTGGCAAAATTAGTTTAGCAAGATTTGACTACAAACCAAACATCACGTCTTTTTCACAGGGATGTTTACGACTGTATTAAGCGCTGCAATTGTTTAATTGCGGTATCCACCGCAAAGAATCATTTGTAAACTCCTTTCTTCTTTGTCTTTTTGCAGACCAGCTTTTAGAAAAGTACTTCGCCGGAAAAAAAAAACTAGATTTTCAACGAGCTGAACATGCTCGAACCATAACTTGTAGACAACAGATTCCACGTGTCATGCTCAACTTAAGTTAGCCGACGAAATCGGCGGCCGGTGGCACTGGAAACAAAAGAATGGGCACAGCACAGATGACATGTAATCATCCCAGACGCTCTTGCAGTAGTTGGACTTGGAGTCTTGGAGCTCTTTAAACCACCATGGAGTCGCCTCGGAATTCGGTCCCC